GGGGGGGGGGATCGTTTTTGGTTAAAAGCTATTTTGTGAGTCCAACAGAAGTAGTGTGAATCTATTTTTTCGTTCATTTTTGCTGTAAAAAAAAATTCGGAAGGGGAGCGATCACCCCCATTGCCCCCCCCCCCTCCCTAAATCCGCCACTGCTCTGGACTGTGCTAAGTCGACTGGTGATGCACAAGGAAAAATAACACACAGTTACAATCTGTCGCAAAACTCATAACCTTCATATTTGGAGCTCACTTAACTTGATGAATTATTATAAAATAATTAAACTTACCATTATAACTAATTCACCTAATTTAATTTCAACTAATTTTGATCGTAATGATTTTACTGATATAATTATTGTTCGAAAAAAGACCATGAAACGAAACCATAAACATATAACAGTAACTGATGCAATATACATATGTATACGTGCACGTATTACTGTATGTCCACTTATATCAATACCATGTGTTACTGTTGTGAGTATGCATAGTATATAAATAATCCAATCGAATAAATTATTTAATGAATAATACATATAATAAGATTTAATACGTGTTCTTGCACGATCTCGAAAACGTCGAGCAAATCGAGCAATTCGCGATGCTCGCCGTGGTGATGTTGATGATGAAAGAAATGGATTATCAACAGAAGGTGCAGGTACTGTTTTTCTTTTTACACTACTCGAAGGATTATTCGATGAATCAGATGAATTAACAATTATATCAACAGGTATTTGTTGTATTAATTGAGTTTCAATAGGTTTACCTTTGATAATTGTTGGTATATTCGGTGGTAATGGATGATGTTGAGAATGATGAGAACGTATATTTGATATGATTGGTGCAGATTCATTTATAACAATATGTTCAACTTCTCCAGTATCATCATTTAATTTTGCTACACTACCAATTTTTTTCACATCTAATTGTGATGATTGTCCTGTTGTATTTGGTTTATATGTATTTTTTGACATTAAATCTAATCGAGTATTGGTTCGTTCCGATTCCCAAATAAGAAAATCTTCATAACGTAATCGTGCATATGTTATATCAAACATTTCTTGAATTATTTTCCATATAAGAAAACCAACACTTATTGCCCATAGTATACAACGCCATATATCATATGGAAAACGATAAACATAACGAATAGGAAATGGTGTTATTAATGAAATACATGTCCATGATATAAGAAATAATACTTCAAGTGCTAAACCAATATAAAAATGTTGTGATGCAAAATTATCCCATTTCCATTTAATTAAACCTTTTATAAGTGGATGAGTTATTAAATCAAGACGTTCATGATAATAAATAGCTTCTAATGGCGTTATTGGACGCATTAATGTACCATCTGGTCGAAATTTATGTGTAATTGATGGTCGTGGTACGTTAGATGGAACATTTAATAAAGGTGTACTTGCAGGATTATTAATTTGAGATGATGCTACTAATTTATTAATTGATGATGGATTTGCTATTGATTTATCTTTATTTTGTGTTTTAAGTTTACTCTAAAAAAATTGAATTTGTTAAAAAATGAATAGAATAATAAAAATCTAACAAACTTTTCGTATATCAGAAGCCATAACTAATTCACCAATAAGATTTGATGAATCATTCGAATCAATTGAATCAAATTCTTCCCTAAAAACAAATTATTATTATTTAAAATATATATTATATTTCAATTATACCATGGTTCGATATGATCGAGATAAAGATGAACAGCTTTTTGTACTTCATTAACAACAATTAATGAATCCATTATATCAAGTGCGATTGTACTAGATTCATCACTGAATAATAAAGCTAGAAAAACTTGCATACTATTATCAAGTGATTTATATAAGCAAATATTGCATTTTTCACATGGTCTTAGATGTCCTTGTGTTGTTTGTATGAAACCTGTTTGTTGACAATGAAAACATTGTCGTTTAGCTTGTGTAACACCTGTTGATGATACACCACAATGACCATCGCGTAATGAATGTGATAAATGTTCATAAGATTCTTTCCATTTTGAATTAATTTGTTTAATAATAGCATAATGTTTAAAATCATTAGCTAATTCCAATGGAGTTTTATCATCATTATTTTTTCGTAACATCATATTAGCCCAAAACCAAAATTTCACACGAGATATATTAAGAAAACAATTTAAAGCATTTGGTGTATCTTCACGAGCTTGAAAAAACAAATAAACATTTAATTCAATTTATATGACAAAATTGTTTTTTTCAATATTCTAATTGAATTAGTAGAGATTTTTGATAAAATATCAGTTTTATTTGTAATAAGATACTAATATAATTGATTTTATCCTCGAGTCAAGAATGTAAATATGTTTCATATTACTCAAACATTTCGTTATAGATAACTTGAAATAACTATGTGGTTTTTTATATCATGTCTATTCATAATAGAAATAGGAGTAGAAGAAAACAAGCTGAAAAATTTTGATTCTCTCATATTGAAATATAAGATTATTTTTTACTTATACATAGTTCTGCTAAATTTATCTCAATAAATATTTCATATTCATTTCTTTTTGGTTTAAAACTAATAGATGAAAATAATATTCGAATAAATTTTTGATTTTACCTGCTATATGAAGTAAATTATCGCCATTGGTTAAACTACATTCAGATAAATATGTTAATAATTCATTATCGGAAATAAATGAAAGTAATGTTTCAAGACAAATCGAATTATTTAAATTAAATCTCATATATGTATGAATAATCATATCACCATGTGTTGAAGAACGTACATTTAAACAATTTCGATCTTTTTCAAGTAATAATTGTACCATTTCATAATTATTCATTTGCATAGCCATTTTTAAATCAGTTGATTGTATATGAATTTTTTGTTCATTAAGTAGAAGTTTACTAACATCATCATGATTATATAATATAGCTAAACTAAGTGGTGATTGATTATCAGCATTTAATTGATTAATATCAACATTTGATGATTTAATTAATGTACGAACTAATTCAACATTACCTGTAAATAAAATATGAATAAGAAGATTTTCATTACTAGTCTTATTTTTATACAATACCTTTTTCTGCTGTTAAATGTAAAACTGTATTTCCTCGTATATCTTTTGAATTTTCATCTGCACCATGACGAATTAAATATCTTGCTAATACACCATTAATATTCTCTGCACATTCATGTATTGGTGTACGTCCTTGTATATCTAATGCATTTAATTGTTCAGTATTCATTTTATTAATTAATAAAGCTGCAACATTAGCTTTTTCATTTGCACATGCTAAATGTAATGGTGTTTTACCCATACGATTTGTTATAGTTAAATCTAATTGGGCATATTTCATTAATAATTTATACATTCGTATATTATCATCTCTTGCAACTAAATGAAGTGGTGTATTTCCTTCTTTATTTGTTAAACTAACATCGCAATTATGTTGAAGAAGATATTGTGCAAATGAATAATTATCACAAATAATTGCATCATGTAATGGTGTTTGTCCATCACGATTTTGTGCATTTAATGATGTTGGATTTGATGTTAAAACACTATCATAAATAAATTTTTCATCTAAATATTTGCAATAATGTAAAGCTGTATTTAAAAATGGATCAAGTATATTTATATTTGTAACTTCAATATGACGAAGAAAAACGGCAAGTAATTGAAAATTATTTTGTTCTAATGCATCAAGAAATGGTGTACGTCCAAGTAAATTTTGTCGATTAAAATCAGCTGATGTTTCAATTAATTTTTCAACATATTTATCATAATCAATTTCTTTTTTATTAACTAAATAATGTAAAAATGTATTACCATGTTCATCACATTCATTTATATCAAGTGAATGTTCAACAAGTAATTCAATAGCATTTATACTAGGAAAATCACATAATAATGGTGAACGTGGTAATTGAGAAAAATAACGTTTCCAATTAAAATTTGTTGTTAAATCAAATAATGCTTTTAAACATGAATCATATTGATATTTAACACATATACATACAGGTGTTTCAAGTGGATTTAAACGTGTACCTTTTTGAAAATCAGCATCATTTTCTAATAAAGCTTTTAATGCTTCAATATTATCATCGTAACAGCATATATGTAATGGTGTTAAACCATCTTCATCAAAAACATTTATACGAGCTTTATAATTTTTTATTAATAAACGTACACTTAAACTATCATTTTTATGTGCTGCAACATGAAGTAGATGTGTTTGACTTGGATAATCTAAATTACAAAATAATAGAGTGATTAATAAGAATATGTAACTAACCAAAATGCCGTTCAAATGTTGGAACATTAACATCATCCATAACTTTAAGTAAGAATAAAGCTAAATCAGTATTACGTGTTGCTAATGCATAATGAGCTGAAAATAAATATATAAACATAATTAACTATCAATCAATTTCTTTATATAAATTTTTTTCGATATACTAGTAAAAGATCAGTAAATGTACTTTTGGTATTTATCAACAAATATCAAGTCAAGGTTAATATACATGACATAATTGATATATGACGAACTCTGACAATATACTTATAATGACATATATCAATAATAGAAATATTATTTTTAGTCATCTAATCTTTAATTTATTAATATGAAACTTCTTTTCACTATAAATCCAACATTAGTATTTAAATAGTTATGGGTTTTTTTTTGAAAGCAAAATTTTTTTTAATTTTTATTGCAATGTACTGAATAATCCCGTTGTTGTTTTGCCATTTTGGATATATACCCACATATGCCGTGAAAGACATGACTGTCCTTGCAAAACATGTTTTCTCATCAGCATACCGATCAATTGCTATACATTTTGTCTCTCATGATGTCTAATTTCGTATAAACAACTCAGTATAAATACCTGCTGTCCATCCATAATCATTTTGTTTATTAGCATCACAACCACCTTTTTTTGTTAAATATTCCACAATATGAATACATTCAGTTGAATGTATTTCAGCACGTGCAAGTAAATGTAATACAGTATTTCCTTCTTCAGTAATACAATTTAATTGTGCACCATTACGTTCAAATTCTTGTATAATATCTAATTGTGGTTGAGGTTCAGAGAGAATATAAGTTAATAAAGCTTTATTTTGTGTAGCTGATGAAAATGATGGATCAGGAGCAGTTGTACGACCAAATAAAGTTTTCTTCGCATCAGTTAATTTCGCAAATAATGATTGTGAAGTTTTTGATGTTGTTGTTGTTGATGGTGGTGGATTTGTATCATCATTTACAGTTAATGATTGCATTGATGATAAATGTAATGATTCTTGAGATGATTTATGTGAATCGTTTGTTGTATTATTATTATCACGATCGTTTGGTGAATGTGTTTGATGCCTATATAAGAAATAAAAAAAAAGAATTATTATTTACAATATATTATTGCGAGTAATGCTATGAAACTGACTAAGTATGAGAAGGTCAAAACGAAAGAATGTATCTTCGTTAGAAATAAAGGGTAATATGCAAACAAACTAAGTCAAATTGTTGATTTCTTCGGCATCAACATACTCAGACCTGAAACACGTACCGATATTATTTAAGAAAAGGTACACTTTTCTTTGTATATTTTAATCATATATCAATACTTACATATTCTATTTCTTTTCCTTAGTATATTCTATTGTCATTCGATAGAAAGAAAATGAATGTCTATATCTTTTACTATTCTCTTATTATTATTATAATGATCTAAGAGATACAATAAGGGAATGCCACTGTGATATTTGCCATCCGTCTTTTTCTTCTTCTTCTTCTAATTCTTCTTAGTTATCGATCATTAACTCAATAATTGCTCGTAAGATAGAAAGTCCTTCAATTGAATGACAACAGTAAATATTTTCTTCTTAATAAATTTCTTTTTTTTCTTGTGTTTTACAATAAATAATTGATTAATAAATAGATGCATCAACATAGATCGATTGATAGATAGAGAAAAGTCTGATTTATTAAGAATAATATTTACTTACGGTTGAATTAAAGTTGAAAATATTTTATATAGAAAGTAAGGAAGGTGTACTACTAAAAGAAAAAAAAAGATAATTTCACACTAAATCAAATGAGCAGCTCAAATTTTTGTTGATAATAGACCGTAAAAGCAGAGAATACAAAGATGTAATGAGGAGAGAAGTTTTTCTTATCTTGATAATGACAAATACAAGCGTAGAAACTAATTGACAAAATTCAGATATCTACAAGGACAAAATGTTAAATTATATAGTTCGATGTTCAAAATCAATATAGAGAGAGAGAGAGACAAAAAGGCAGAGAAAGAAACTAAATTCTTAAGATAGATTTTAAATAAGAGAAGAAGAAAAAAAGACGAAAAATCTTAGTAATGATTTTTTTAAACACATATTTCGATGTGATGGTAATTAAACGCTTTTTGATAAGTATCAAAAAAACACATCAGCCACTTAAAGATGGTATCTCTTATGATCATAATGAATGACGAATACGGGAATACAAAACAGATGTCTGGTGACATTGACATAATGAACGTTAATATATCTGTTAATCAAATTTGTTATGTTCTTATTCTATGTAATATTAATATATCTATAAGATAAATAAGTAAAGGTATGGGATAGATCAGCTGCAAACATTGATGAATGATATTTGATGACAATAAAAAATGATTATTTTTTATATGATGATATTAAACAGAAACGTGAGATTTTTTTTCTTTCTTTCTTTCTTATCTCATCTGATTACTAATATTAAAATCAAATATTTTCATCAATGTGCACTTTAGAAGAAGAAAAAAATACGTAGAAAACATATATATCAATGAAATGTACTCTTACTTCTTTAATTTATCACCATAGATTGTACAATATCAACTATATCTATATTACAGTTCTCTTTTGCATAAAAAATACCAAGATATATCTTTGAATTCTTCTTGTCAAAATATTTGTATTTAATACTATAATATCAGTATGTTACAAAAATATAACTGATGTTTTATCTTGCAAAAAGAAAATATCCTACGAAAGAAAGTATCATGCAACAAATTCGAATTACTTAAATATTAAGAGAAATAACCGAATAGAAAAAAAAATAATTATATTTGATTTTTTAGAAGAAGAATAATTTCTATTAACTAATAATTTTTCCTTTTAGCGCATAAGAGACAAGAAAAATATTTCGCTGTATGTGTCGTATATCACAGTAGATCGTATTAGTATTTATTTAGAGAATGATATAGATCTAATTATGAATAGACAGAGCTGTGTAATCGCGTCTATCTCGAAGAGATTTGATCTGATAATAATTAGCTTATAATACAAGGGAAGAAAAAGCGATTTGTGATTTAAAATGAGTTTATTTTGATTTTCACATGGTCTAAGTCAGTTTAGATTATCAAAATTCATTTTTTATTTTTGGATGAATAATGAGATATTTTAGTACAGTTACTTCGAGACTAAAATATAGAAATATATATATTTTTTCTTGTATAGCATTTCACTGACAGAATTGATTTCGTTAGTCTCTTTTCTTTAAATTATAATTTCTACTAGTACTACACTAATGTATTAATTTATAAATTTGATTATATGGTATGCCTGAATGTATATTTTATGCTGAAATTTAAAGTTCAATTAGTCAATTTCTGTAGTATACATAAATAAAATTTATATTCACTTACAAAGGTAAACCAAATAATTTGTTTATTTGGTTTGGACATACAACGGTAATATTAAATTTATTTGAAATTTTCTTCTATTATATTAGAATAGATACAAACGTCTGTTTTATCAGTAAGAACAATCAATAAAAGAAAGAAAGAAAAGGAAAAAGACAACAATGAACACTTATTCTTTTAATCTATGCTCATCTGTTTCATAAAAGACGTAGACTAACACGTATTCAACCATACAATATGCTTGTATATACAAAAGAAAGAGGAAATCAAAAGTAATGCACTAAACCGAATAATGTATTAATAGCTGTACATTGATGTAAACTCTATGACTAAATTCATCCATTGATCTATGTTTTAAGTATATCTGTTTTATTCTCCGCCTATTCGAAAAATACTAAATATAAGTTTAATAAGTGATAGATCGTGTAAAGAGGGATTAACATTTATCAAATACAACTGAATCTTCTTCTTATTCATGATATCTTCGCAATAATTATATACATGAAATACAATTAGTCTAAGGTAATATCAAATATCTAGTTGAACAATATTGTAATACTCAATATGACATGTAATTATATATATGAACAAGTACATATTAACATACTTTATTTTTGTCTGGGTTTTTTTTTGTTCGACATTAATGAATCTTAAAATATGATAATATTTTTGACAGATTTGTCTGCAATTAATGAGATAGTTTCATTTTCTTAATTTTGTCTCTCAAAGTAAATACAGAGATGTTTACCCATCATTTACTATCAAACGAACGATAATTTCCAAATATTGGTTACTTATCCTCAGTTAATTCTTCATCTACCACATCAAACATATGATGTATTGACCCGTAGTATATAACAGACAAACGATATACAATAGAGACAAGCCAAAAACAAACATTGCACTTATTTTTACATCAAAGTGATTGCAGTATTAAAAAGAAGTATTGTAAGAAAGTATTTATCACAGACAGAAATCATTTTAATTAAGAATCGCTCTATTGAACTGCACAAAAGTTCATAATTAATTTATGGCTGTTATAAAAGTATTGTTATCATAACAAAAAACGAATAACTGAAGTTAACTGATCGTGCACTCCGTTATGATATAGATAAGAAACGAAATCTTCCACGTATAAATACTGTAGTACTACATGATTTAAAAAAAATCACGCTGTGATATATTTAGATGTCATTAGTGGCGCATCTAGGATTTTGGAAGGTAAGGACGATACCTGAGTAGGGGGCCGATGTCGACTGAAAACTATTTTTTGAGTCCAATCGAAGTAGTGTGAACCTATGTTTTCGTTGATTTTTGCTGTAAAAAGCCAAAAAAGTTTTCTGAAGGGAGGAGGCGATGAGGACAGTCGCTCCTCCCCTCCCTAAATCCGCCACTGGATGTCATATTGTTTTATTTAAACAACGTTGATGAATGCATCTGATTTCATATGGTGTTCTATGGCAATCCATTACAACTGTAATTCAGATATTTACAATTTAGTTTAAAAAAAAACAATTTGTTTTCCTGTCGTTGATTACTACGTTCAGTGTCTTATACACTTCTCGTTTCTTTTAGTTATGCATATTGGTATTCAACTATCGTCGTACGAACGTTGATTCATTCCTCATTAAAATTATAATTTGAACTTGTAGCGTAGTTCAATTATAGAAATATACAATTTTCTACTAATGATAGATGGCGTTCTTGTCAATTCACGATAAATCAATTGGTTTAAATATATGATCCAACTATATTATTTTTCCTTTTCTAATGCAATACATATCGATCTTTCATTAGACAATCCTAGATTTTCTAGTTATTAGTTTCTATTAGATGTCAAATGTCTTCTTTACTTCGCCTTCGTTATTTAATTCTTAGTACAACTGTTGGTGGAAGTTATGTAGTTCATAAAGTAAATCATATTCTCTTATTATTCATTTTTTTTTTTCAAATAAATATCTATATAGAAATACAAAGAATTCCCTGATATATCATGGATGAAAGAATATATACCTGAACAAAATATTGATATACTAACAAAACATTTATCTGATTTA